TTCAGCATGTTGTTGGTTGTGGAGGATGTCATTGGTGATATGTTACAGAAGGTATTTCATATCAAGTTTTTATAAGAATTTCTTCATACCACAAGCATATTTTATTTCAGCCTGGAAGAAATATATTTTCTGTTTAGCTGAATAATACATGATAGAATTACAGTAGTTTTGAGGGACATCATAGTGATGATTACACTTTTGTTCACTTATTGTATAATTTTTGTCTTCTAGCTAGTTGGAGATTCCTATACTAGCAGTCTGAAGACAAGTCCACCAGTCTTCATATAGAAATATTGACTTAGTTTTCAACTTGAAGCAAATGGCAAATATGGAAATAGCTGTTACAAAAAGACAACATGTTGATGATGTTGAAGATATTGTTGGCAGTGAAAGCAATATACCAATTGAAGATCTTGACAATGAAGAAGGTTCTCTTATGAAGAAACAACCATATGCTGAAGAACGTCTCAAACGAAAAGCCAAAAGACCATCCAAGTTTCTGTGCGAGCATAAAGGAACTGGCGAAGGGCAAGACATAAAAGAGGAGAAGGTGCTTGGTAAGCTGTCAAAAAATAGCAGACGATCAAGAAATATATATGGAAGAGGCTTGCCTAAGAAAGGTAGGACCGTAAAGAAAATAAGCATCTCTTTATTTATGTTTTTGGTGAATAAAAAGTTTGAACATTTGATTTATTTTTAATATCACATTCAAGTTTTTATTTGTGAGAAGAAAGGAGGTCTATCTTTTGAAAGTATTGGTTTATCAGGTTTCTTAATTTGATTCGTCTTCCCAGTTTAATCGAGAAGAAAGATCTGTATTCCAAAAAGACTGGGTTACAGGGTTTCTTATTTTGTGATTAAAGAATTAATAAAGTTTTCTTGTTGTGCTGCCCTTAGATAACTATTTTTAAACCCATTTTATGTTAGTTACAGTGTGCTATGCTTGCATCTTGTTTTTGTAAAGCCAATTTCATGCTAGTAATTATGAGTTATATTTATATATCTTTGTATTAAGTACATTTTGTACTAGCTGTATCTTTGTATTAAGCACATTTTGTGCTAGCTGTATTAAGTACACTCTGTGCTAGCTGTATTAAGTACACTCTGCGCTAGCTGTATTAAGTACACTTTGCACTATCTGTATTAAGTACATTTTGTGCTAGCTGTATTAAGTACACTTTGCGCTAGCTGTATTAAGTACACTTTGTGTGCTAGCTGTATTAAGTACATTTTGCACTAGCTGTATTAAGTACATTTTGCTCTATCTGTATTAAGTACATTTTGTGCTAGCTGTATTAAGTACACTTTGCGCTAGCTGTATTAAGTACACTTTGTGCTAGCTGTATTAAGTACATTTTGCTCTATCTGTATTAAGTAAATTTTGCACTAGCTGTATTAAGTACACTTTGCACTAGCTGTATTAAGTACATTTTGTGTGCTAGCTGTATTAAGTACACTTTGCACTAGCTGTATTAAGTACATTTTGTGTGCTAGCTGTATTAAGTACACTTTGCACTAGCTGTATTAAGTACACTTTGCACTAGCTGTATTAAGTACACTTTGCACTAGCTGTATTAAGTACATTTTTTGTGTGCTAGCTGTATTAAGTACACTTTGCACTAGCTGTATTAAGTACATTTTGCTCTATCTGTATTAAGTACATTTTGCACTAGCTGTATTAAGTACATTTTGTGTGCTAGATGTATTAAGTACATTTTGCACTAGCTGTATTAAGTACATTTTACTCTATCTGTATTAAGTACATTTTGCTCTATCTGTATTAAGTACATTTTGCACTAGCTGTATTAAGTACACTTTGTACTAGCTATTATTGAAAGAAATGTGCATGACAAACTTCTATTTTGTGAAGCAGTACTTCATAGAAATAATTATTTTGATAAAATGAAAAGGTTTTCAACATTAACTGTGATAATATTTAATTTAATTTTCTGGAAAATGCTGAGAGATGATCAAAATATACTAGGTAATAAGGCAGCTAAAATCTTATATGTTTAAGAAATAAAAAGATCTGTCACCGAATTCCACATGTTATGAACGATTTGCAAAATAAATGAAGTGTGACACATTCTTATGTTGTCCAGAACATTTTAAAAACAATTGTCAGGACTAAAACAATGGCAGAATATTGTTTTTTGTCCGTATGTTTGGTTTTAAGAAAATCCACAAGGTGTAGTTGTACAGTACACTACTTCTTTAGCTATGTTGTCTAACGAGTAATAATTAAGTGGGGGAAAATAAAAAAATCTGTCTAAGAATAACTGAACATCTAGGTTTTAAAAAACCTACCCAAATTTTATTTTCTGATATTAATGTGTACCACTGATGTCATAGCTGATATTGATGGTCTTTTGTCTTTTGATACGTGTTTCTTTAAATATCTTGAACATTAAATATTTACTGTTTTATAAGACAATAAATTCACTTTCTTCAAACCAATAAATAATACTCAGTGTTTTCTTTTTATTGTTAATTCCTTGATTAAATCAAGTAACCTTACCTCGTGTGTTACTCTCAAAAATCGTGTTTCAGAACATAACAAGATAGTTGTACATGCTTGAAACTCTTATTATCATAACAAAATAGTTGTAAATGCTTGAAACTCTTATCATCATAACAAAATAGTTGTACATGCTTGAAACTCTTATCATCATAACAAAATAGTTGTACATGCTTGAAACTCTTATCATCATAACAAAATAGTTGTACATGCTTGAAACTCTTATCATCATAACAAAATAGTTGTACATGCTTGAAACTCTTATCATCATAACAAAATTCAAACGTGTAGATTTTGTTTTTATAGAAATGTTTTATTTATGTAATGTCTCATTATTTCTGGTTTGTCTCCAGGGGGAGCTGGTGGTAAAGGTACATGGGGAAAACCGGGGAGTGAACTAATTGTAGAGGAAGAAGACATTAATGGAGATTCCCATGATCCAAACTATGACTCCGAAAGTCAGGTTAGAATTTTTGTGTTTATGGAATATTAACAATTACTGTAACTAAAAATATTTTTTGTTAGGTAATTTTATAAGTGTGATATTGGCTGAACACCCCCAAGGTAAACTAATGAAGATATGTGTTTGGTTATTCATTGGATGAGCATTAATATCTTATTTGACAGTCAGTCTTTAAGACAGATAAGAACATGATCTGAACTTGAAAGTATTTATTTCTTGGTTAAAAATTAAAGGACCAGTATTAGGCTCAAAACAGTGGGCATTATTACAGACTTGACAGGTACTCCAACAAACCCGTGCAAAACTCATTTTAATGGGAGCTTTCGAGTGTTAGTGTGGTGGCACCCAACAGATGTGAAGGATTGTGTGCTATGGCTCAAAATAGTGGAAGAGGGCACCTATGTTTCCATCTATACAATTACTTTTTAGTGTTAATAGTTGCTATTTGATATTCCATTTCATAAACAATAATAATAATAATATCACATTTATATTCTGTTTTGTAAACGTAAGTAATATCACATTTAATATGTTGTTCGTAAACATTAATAATATTGATTTGATATTCCATTTTTTAAATGCTAATAATATTGATTTGATATTCCATTTAAATGCTAATAATATTGATTTGATATTCCATTTCGTAAAAGTTAATAATTCCACATTTGATATTCCATTCCACGACAGTAGTAAACATAGTAATTATTATAATTACAGGACAGCAGTAAACGTAGTAATTATTATAATTATAGGACAGCAGTAAACGTAGTAATTATTATAATTATAGGACAGCTGTAAACGTAGTATTATTATAATTATAGGACAGCAGTAATCGTGGTAATTATTATAATTATAGGACAGCAGTAATCGTGGTAATTATTATAATTATAGGACAGCAGTAATCGTAGTAATTATTATAATTACAGGACAGCAGTAAACGTAGTAATTATTATAATT